TTAGGCAAAAAGAATAGATGAACCAAAATCGATATTCCCTAAAATGGAATGGGGCGCGCGATAGACTTACCTCCTCGTGGTGCACCCTGGACAACGTATTTTCTTACGGCTAAAAGGTCTATCACTCGGCATTCGTTTTTGACTTCGATCAAGGCTACAAACATAGCCACATAGCTGGAAAGGAAATTGAAGACATGCTAAACAGCAAACCATAGCTGGAAAGGAAATTAAAGACATGCTAAACAGCAACCCTCTTTGGAAAGGAAATTGAAGACATGCTAAACAGCAACCCTCTGATCTTATTTATAGCAATGAGGATCCGGCTACATAATTCTTGTCAAGCGACATCAGTGAGCACACACACCGCAAAATAAGACGATCCTGGTTCTGGTCACAAACCAGTCATTGCTAGTGCCTGGTTCTGGTCACAAACCAGTCATTGCTAGTATCACCACCGCCAGCAAAAGCATGTCATGGAAAGTGCCAACTAGGCTATCACGGAACTTCAAGAAGGCTGACTGACCTAGATTCACAAACCTTTTAGTAAGAAGGCTGACTGGCCTAGATTCACAAACCTTTTAGAGATTGAACTTCACACAAGTCCCTTCAACTTCAACCAACATCCTCGAAGCCTGACTGGTCTAGATTCACTAACCTTTTAGACAATGGACTTCACACAAGTCCCCTCAACTTCAGCCAACATCCTGACCAACTTTGCACTGCTATCACGAGAACCACCATCCTGACAAACTTTGCAATGATATTACGAATATCATGATCAGATGTGCAAAAAAAACTATTCCCCGAGGCAAGATCAACTTCAACCAACATCCTGACAAACTTTGCAAAGATATCGCGAATATTATGATTTAGATGTGCAAAACTATTCCCCGAGGTAAAACTAAACACTATCGAGTGTTACTATTCCCCGAGGCAAGACTAAACATTATCGAGTGTTTTGTTATTCCCCGAGGCAAAACTAAACACTATCGAGTGTTTTGGTTTAGACAACTTGAGAAACTGAAAAGAAAGAGGGAGGCTTTTCGCAACACTGCTGATCAGACTGGAAGAACGGAAGACG